CTTACAACACCTGGTATTCCCAAATGGTCACCCATCTAGGTACTGACCAGGCTTAACGTTGCTTAATTTCGGTGATCGTACGGGAACCGAGGTTTCAAGGTGATGTCACCGTAAGCCTTATGGGTTTTATTGAAGGCGAAATATATTTTGGATTGTAAATTTTTTTTGCGAATGAATATTGCATTTAACAATTTTTTGAGACTAACAATGACTTTTTTTCTAGATACATGTACTACTATTTAACCCATAGTTAGAGGGAGCTATGGTCACAATGTTATTTGCGCATAAGTGAACGTAACGAACGCCGACAGAAATTCGAACTCGGCTCTCTCATTTCAAATTCTAAAATGCTATCCATTACAGAACCCGCGCATCCACGTAGTGATGTCAGACCGCAGGAAGTGATTTTCTACTTTTCTATTGCAAAATTTAATAAACACCAAAACAAGAACATACCAATAATAACATAAAATCAAGCCAACTAAAATAGGCACCTCGACGTGAGTAATGTTTAACGAGGTTGGTCTGATTGATCATTAGTATTGAATAGTGAGTTTGATCCTCACCAGGTGACCCATGAAAAAATCCGAAATTAAATAACCGAACAACGGTTGACATATAATGTGGCTATTCTGGTTGATCTTTCCAACTGAAGAGTGGGTTCGTTTCTCACTGGGTGCTCCCATACTAAAGATGACAATGGTGGACAATACATTTGCATCTACTGCTGGGTTGTGCAACATATCAACTTAAATGTCCTCCCAGATTGAAGTTTGAATGTGCAGCTTATTCCGATGCAGGGTTGAGTTTTTCTAACTACTGAGAGTTGAGATTGAAACAGCTGGAGAAGAGGGTATGCTAAGGATCGTATTCTGGCAGGCACATATAAAGCATCATTCTTTGAGGAATTTAAATATATGCATGCTTAATCATCTGTGGAAGTGTGTTCAGTGCCGCCTAAATGCAGACGACAGTTGTCCTCTAAATATATAATTCAATGGAATTTCTGTTATTTTTTTTAATATGAATTAATACGGCATTATTTGAAACAAATTTTGGGAAAATATTTATGTGGACAGACACGCGTACACACACGCACACAAACACACAAAAGAACATTAGGACTATATACATCCGGGATATATATATATATATATATATATATATATATATGTAAGCCTTTTTGTTATATCCTTACTCTGTCCTAGACATTGAGTTCTACCTGGATTCTTCCTCTTGGAAAATTTTTTTCTGAAAATATACATGTATGGGTATTTTTATATATATATTTTGCATATGTATGTATATTTTCCACTAATATTATCTATATCTATATCTATATATATATATATATTTGTGTATTTAGTCGGCAAATTGTCTTTTAGATATGTCTGATTGAATAAATTACAAATTATAAGAAAACAAAATCATAATCCTTTAATATTCAACGAATATTTTTAATGTATATTACACTTGAATAAGGCCTTATTCAATAACAAATATACGGAAACATATATTATGAATATGAAAGGATTATAATAAAAATAAGCAGACATATTGTTTGTAATTCACTGAATCATATATATATATATATATATATATATATATATATATATATATATATATATATTTGACCTGTGTTCTATACAGAACTGTCATTTGATCTGACGTGATATACCACTCAGCTATAGAGAAGCGTCTGGTTAGCAGAGTCTAATTTACTGTTTATAAACAACAAATCTTCGACGATCTTTCCCGAATGATCATATATGCACACGAAATGTATGAAAATTGACATCATATTATGAAATGGTTTAAGTGCGCCAATTGTTTAATATATTTTCTGTTTATACGTTATTTTTTATAGAAAAAAATTATTTAACTAAGTACTCCGATTTTAAATAAACAGTATTAATTATTAAAATTATGTATTAAAATAATGTATAAACAGAAAATATATTTAATAATTGTCGGACTTAATCCATTTCATAATATGTTGTCAATGTTTACGTTAAGGTACGTTTCATGAGCAGATAAGATCGTCGAAAATTTGTTTATATATATATATATATATATATATATATATATATATATATACAGAGAGAGAGAGAGAGAGAGAGAGAGAGAGAGAGATAAATAAATAATATATAAAAAGTTTAATGGTCAGAGTTGAATTAGACCAAGAAACAGTAGTGTAAAAAAGTGCTCAAAAGAGGTGAAAAAAATACGATGTAGAGCTTTTAACTTAAAAATTAGGTGATAAACTGATTCCGCTACCTTGGTTTCAACTTTACGGTATTTTCAGGCGATTTTTATCAAATGACCTACCAACGCTTTAAAAAATCATGAACGCCACATTATTTTAAGAAATATATTAACAAATGAACGAAGAAGAAGAAGAAGAAGAAGAAGAAGAAGAAGAAGAAGAAGAATGATGATGATGAGGAGGAGGAGGAGGAGGAAAAAAGGGTATTATAAATGTCTCAGTGGTGGTCAATTGAAATGTACACATTTTTTATCCAGCTACCTATGAGAGGAATTTTTTGCATGTATGCAACGGCTCATGACCTCGGATCTCTGGTTCAAAAGCTTTTCTTGGACCCGGAAATGTCATTAGTGCTAATTTTTCCTGTTGGCAGAGGTTGCAAATGTTATTGTGCTTGTTGTAAGACTTTACCTTTTAAAAACACTTTCCAGCTTACAATAGGATACCTGCAGTTTGTGGAATTTAAAAGAGATAAAAAAAAAGTGTCGTTAATACCTCGACGATTTGACACGAGTTTGAATCTCAACATAGCTGTCGGAGGTTGATGTCTTGATAATATCGGTCTAAGGAGACGATTCCAGCTTGCTGCGTCGTTGGGAAGTGCGTAAATAATATTTCATTGGCATTTGGCAAACGGGGCTATTTAGAAGGCGTCGACGGTTGAGCTGAAACGAAGTCACAAGTCATCGTGACCGGATGTTTGAGCGTATTGATCACGCCAAATTTTTTTTCATAAATATTGTTTCCACACTACAAGGCCCAAGTGCCACTAGAGGGTTACTCAATGGGGATGTTGTAAGGGCGTATAGGGAGGGAGTAAAGGTTGTATATTGAGCTTATATAGGAGATATAACGTTTCACCATCGACTGGAAGAGGATAATATTATAGTGATCAATGAAGCACCCCATCTAGTGGCCGTTTCACAATGTAACAATGGAATATGAAAAGAAGAGGATGAGTCGATTTCATTGCGGCCTGGGCTGGTAGAATCAAGAATGCACTCCTTTCAAAACATTCAATGTGTATGCAGCATATATATATATATATATATATATATATATATATATATATATATATATAACCGATTCAATGAGAAGGAAAATAACGTATAGATTCTAAAGTTTTTTATTAATTCAAAAGAGGGCTCAATACCGAAAGTAGAGCAATAATTATTTATTATAATTTTTTCCATACAGACAAAAACAATTTACTCACTATAAAGATGCAACTTCGTTTCGGTGCAGTGAATTGCACTTCGACTGGTGAGAACCAAAATGGTTATGAACATTTCTGTTAGTAAGCAAGCTGTATGTGAAACGTCACTTCCTTCTTTTCCATTTGTTTGAGAAAAAAATATACATAAAGCAAAAAGGTGACGGAGTGAAACAATAGTGCTTGTTGATAGCAGTTTGATGAAGAATGGATTGGGTGCGGTGTTAAAGTGATGGTCACTCTTGAAAAATTTCTTTTCGAAAACAACGGTCAAAGGTTTAGGCACAGCATTTCCAAGCCTTCTAAGTGGGGGAGAAAAAGTAGGAATAGGAGATAGTAATACGATGAAAGAGGTAGGAGGGATAAATTCAAACGATAGTTTATATATATATATATATATATATATATATATATATATATATAAATATGATAGATAGTTATAAATATATAACGATAGTTATGTATATATATATATAATTTCTATATATATATTACATATGTGCGGTACTTATTGGAAAGTGCTCAATATCAGTGATAGCGCTAACATATTCAATTGTATAGATATGAGTTTGTAACCGTGGGTTTCACGCTTTTGCGATCATCAGACAGACTGATTTATTTTTAAAAAATTGAATCTAATTATGCTAGTTTGTGTTTGAATATATTTGTTGGTGGTGTGGGGGTAAATCTTCTCTGTGTCTGTTTTCGGATTACACCCATACGTGCGCAGACATACATACATATCGATGTACACATGAGCGTGAAAACCAGGATTACAAACTCATATCCATACAAATGAATATATATATATATATATATATATATATATATATATATATATATATATATTTTTTATAAACTATACGGAGTGTTAAAGGAATATAAATTTACCTGAGCAGGTTTCTACAACAGGGATTAACTAGCGATCTTAGCAGACAGTCATACACGGGAAATATGGTAACCCATATTGTTATCATGTAAATTTTACCAACATCGGTTTGTTTATATTTCAGTTATTTTTTTTATTGCGAATACATTAACTTGCGTAATACTGTCAAACTTTCTGCCTTGAGTAGAGAGAAACCCGGACGAGGCTTTGCCGAAATTTCGCCTGGGGAGGTAGACAGGCTCTGAACCCGTTTATGCGGGTTTTAAGAGAATATTTTTGGCCGAGCTTACCGTCTCGGACAACCCATGGTAAACTCGGCCTTATGCCACATAGATCCCTCGTGGGGGGCTGTTAGATATAACAGTAGTATAGACTGAATGCTGGTCAATCGACACACACACCCAAGTCATGTAACACACTTCTGTTGTATTTACTGTTCAATACACTATTTATCTGGAACCTCTTGTTTTGTTATTCCTTAACCAATTACTTGGTCACAACAATCTGACTTTTCTTTTATGCGTTTGTATGAATGAAAGTAAGTCTTACTTCTGTCAATTTCGTTTTTCTGTCCTTAACAACAGACTCTCCCGATTAATGATTAGCAATTTGGTCTCTTCTGGGTAATAAAAACAGACATTTTCAAGCTCGAGTAAATGTTGCGTTACCAAACGAATAGACTCTTAATAATTAACATCAAAAAAATGTTTTAAACTATAAAAAATAAAATAGAAATAAAATTCCGT